GGAACAAAACGACTCAATGTCTTTCCTGGGCGTACTTTTTACGAATTAGGGAAAACGTAATTTATTGATGTGCTTCACAAGGCAACACACCACTAAATTCCTGCCATTCAACTTAAACCATACAGATGCTTCGAGTTGAGATCAGATAACAGTGATATCCAGAAAGAACTAACCTCCATCCGAAAAGTTCTCAGAATCGGTCGCTGCTCTAAATGATTGATAGAAGAAACAATCAGCAGTGAGCAAAGGAAAATCACGAATGAAACAACTAAAAGTGAAAAGCAAACTAGCATTGTTGTTCCGAATGCATCAAATCCATGAGAGAAGCCGCAAAGATTTGCCCGTAAGCGCGAAATACGGCCTATATTCAGATCCCAAGCAATTTTTAGAGCTAGTTGAAACATTTCAATGATTCGAAATTTCAAAAAAAATCTGGATTTACACCCTACCATGTGAGTGTGGTCTCAATTACATAGGAGAAAAAATGTAAGATCAGAGAGGAAAAAAGACACCTCATATCAAAAACATAACCCCAATGTTACGGGTAAACTCCATAAATGGAGCCTTAAAAACACATATTTCTCGCCCTTAAAACGTTCGCCGCTTTCCACTAGTGAAGCCTTAAAGGCTTTCTCTATTAAAATCCAGAATTATAAATTTTGATATTATGTATCGACAACAACATTGGAAACCTCAATCACTGAGTCCAACCATAATATCAGAGTTATGTTTTGGATGCGTTTTTGTCTACGAATCGTGGCGTTTCGACTTTAACATTCATTTGTTCAACCCAAAGACGCGGGCACTGCAGGCGCTTAAATACAATGGAGTCATGGACTTCTTAAATGGTCCCCACATGCATCTAGAAACAAGGGAGTGCAATGATGCGATAGCACTAGGCGTAAAATTTCCGTCTGTCTTACACTATCGCACTATCGATGTTAAGTAAGAAACGCATTTTCTTTCTTTACACTTACGTCTTCGATGTTAAAATCCGGGAGCAAAAAATTTAACATTAAAGAACGAACGTCCCAGTGACTTGATTAGAAGGCTCAACGCCGCTGTACGCCAAAATTGACAGGCACAGAAAGTAAAGGGCGAAGACAACGAAAGATCTGCAGATGGTAAGGCAGGCATACGAAAAGAACTTGTCGGCTGAGCATCAGTAGATTACAATGTAGTACAAGAATAAACTGCATAGTCTGGGACTACATGAAGAAAATACGCCGAGAGCAAAATTTTCTAGGCCATAATGTTGAACAAACATTGGTAATACAATTAAACAAACGTATGCATAAAGGTGTCGGTAAGAAATTAGATTCATACTGAAGTACGTTATGAAAGAGTTTCCACTATCGAGGCTAGAACCTTCATAGTGAAGGTAAGGTTTAAACATGTACCTAAACATACAATGTATACTGTAGCGGCGTATCTCGTTTCCTGAAAACAGACCGAGCTTGATCCGAAACGTTGGAAAACTTGTATATAATAAACCTAATTTGTGGTGTAATCGCGAAAAAATTTTTCTTCATTTTGAATCCCTCATACTTGTCAAATGAATCAGCTTATCAATGGGTGTCATCCGATACCTCTATATGGCTCTTGAGCAATTACAGAAGGGTGTTTGTCCCAGTTCTCATCTAACGTATTGCATTGACAAATGCTATTAATGGACACACAATTATTTAAATTTCATAATTGTTCTGATTCTTCTCTAGAGTGTTCCTATAACACAGAGATATCAACGAGCATGATTAGTAAAGCTAAAAGATGACGAATTAGTTTGTGGCTCTCCATTATATATTGTATGCACTTGATTGTGACTAAGGCTAACAGTTCTGATCATGTCGAATTGCAATTGGAATGAATTTTGGAATGATTTACGCCCCTTTAACTTTAACAAGGCAGAAAACTAAATACCGATTATTAGCAATACTGCCAATTCTGAAAAGCCGGTCAGAATGTAATATAGTTAATCGCTTTCGGAAATACACAGTGTACGTGTAGCATCGTTACTTCGCTTTTAGTGGCCAAGGGACTTTTATGGCCCGGCTCCTTCATAATTTAGCATATGCAGTGCATTGATGCAGAACCGGATCACTGTGCAGGACTGAACGAGAACATACTCAATACATGCCAAAATTCCAGTATCCGTACACAAATGCGTAGATAAAATTATGCGTCAAGTTAAACGCCAATCTTATGAGTTTACTAGCAAAACTGCTAGTTTTCGAAACTGCTGGTTAGAAAATGACACTTTCAGTAACTTCTGAATTTACAGGGCGTAGGCATACAGTCCCCTTGATAATCAAGTTTCTTAGTAAGGTTTAAAATTTTTATATTTCAGTATGACCTGAAAATATAAAGATGGATTGTACAAAGATTTGTTTTAATTATTAACCGTTCGCTATCGGCAGCGACATTCCAGAATATGGATAAAAGGCAGTACTGGCATTACTGAATATGCCATAACTTTTCATGGCGGCCGTGTCAACGTTTGTCATGAAATAATAATGGAGTCCAATCGCTCTTTATGTGCTTCGCAGGTCATGACGAAATATTTCTTTTGGACTTCTGATGCTGTCATAATTTTGACACGCGTAGCAATCAAAATCTAGAACTTGCTATGGTAATCAGGCAGCAGATGCTTTCTCATGCCAAGTACCTTTGACGGGACTTCCATTCTTTGTTGATTCTAGTTCTATTTATTTTACAGGTATAAGCAACGAAATGGATTTCCGTTAATGCAACAGCCGGTAATCACTTTCACCTTTCACTGCTCTACCCGCGTATCGCCGAACAATCAATTCTATAACTGATGGCATATCCCTATAAAACGTGTTTGCTCAAGATGGCACGAACTCAAAGTAACGCATAAATATCTAATGGCGAGAGGACGATGACGTTTATACCTCAATCGAAGCAAAGAATGGGTTGCCTGCATTCATTATAAATGAAATCGTACTCGCCATGCAAGGCACGTTCAGAACAGGAATAGAAATAATGGCTAGACACGCAAAGATGTCAAAATTAAGCATAGCAGTGAAAGCATTTTAGCTTATCTCATTTTCAGCTTGAAGAAACTCACCGAATCGTTTACGCTTGTGAAATCTTCGTTATCATGCATAAATAGTTCGGTATTCTCTGCAGAGGACTCGATGACGATAGTCCATTCTTCACAGTTTTTGCATTGTATAAGTTGACCCTTTGCGGGAAAGTATCATTTACCAGATTTTATTCTTTTTCACATCTTGCATAAGATTTAACAAAATTAAATATCCATATAAAATTAAGCAGATTTCAATACTAAATCAGATGCTTGCATGAAGCGACGATTTAATCGCAATTGAAATTGAGAGTTAAAACCACATCGAGTGTCTTTGAAAGTAGCAGAAACATTAAAAAGTTAAGCGCGAAGCTTCGCCAAGATTTTAATTTTGAAGTAGAATCACGTCGGGAGCATAATTTGCGAAATGAAAGAGTGGCAAACAGTTTATTCGACCATGAGAGGTCAGGTTAACTTTAACGGCTATGGCAACAGAATAACTTAGGGATGGATTTTAAGGGAAACGACCAAATGCAACATATAAATGGTAGTAAGGAGTAAGCAGTACGGTAAAATATGTGCTTTACAACCGGTTTTATAAAATATTAGACTGCGGGGGGGGAGGCTGGGAATGTAACGAATGGGTTGCGATGAGGTTTATTAACCAGAATTTCACTGTCTATTTTGGCACCGACGTATAATACTGACTATCCGAAGTTGCAAAGTCGTTCAGCTTCGCAGGCGAACGATTTATACCATTGAAATTCATGTGAAATGCTGACTTTAAGGGCAGCAGGTGTTAAATGTACAACGGAAGGCAACTTATGAGCCGCTAGAAAATTTTAAACGGTGCACTAATCTAAGATTGAGTATGTTGTTCACGTGCTGGTTATCTTACTGAAAAATCAAAAACCTATTTATGCACAACTCAAGCAGATTTATCAATTGGTTGATTAATAAACCTGCTAGCAATATGTATAAACAATCCGTTTTCACACGTTTTAAAGTTCACAGTTCATAACCATCATGACCATCATTAGCAGTCGTCGATCGTTGGAAGTGCAGAAGTCATTATGTATGACACAGAGTCACATCCTTATACACTCTGCGGGTTCTGCAGAACGAATGGCGTTTATTTGTGTCTAGTATACGATGTTCATCAGTTCAGCATCGTTTTGGTCTTTGTTTTGGTTTCAATTTCGAACTCTGGTCTTGTAGTGTTATTCTATCGTAATACAGCTAAAACGATAATTTTTGCTTTGGATGCTTCCAGAGGCGATCTTCGAATAAAAACTTAAGGACCTGCTGAGTTGATTGCAAGACAGCATGTTTCAGATAACGTACAAAATCGTCAATCCCTCTCTCTTAACTAGGGAATAAAGTTGATCGGATAGGACGATGAAAAAATAATTTTTTCATTTAACTCCACCGTTGCCAGTCACAAGCGCGGATGAGAAGGGGCGAGGTCTGAGGACTGCGCCGAGCTGTCCCTTAAACCTAGCCATCTGCTGTTCACGATATTGTCGTTATTAAGGGTTATTTCCGATCGGTCGTCGCTCGGGATGCCAAAGATGGCAGAGGCTGTTCACGGATTGAGACGAGCTGCGAAAATTCACGGATATAATCTGCGTCTCGTCTTCTGATCTTTAGGGGGAGGCGCAGCAGCACGGCGACACAGCAGAAGATCGACAGGAAAACTAAGATACCAATCAGGAATGGAGCTTTAGCCGTTAGATAAGGATCCAGGGAATGACGTTGACAATGAGAGCTTACAGTCAGACATGGGAACATCTTCTCAGA